ATGTTGTGTGAAGACAGTCCAAAAGTTCGATGATGGAGCCGGTTGAAGCTTCCGCCATCAACTCGGAGCCCATAGATAGCTCACTGGGACTTGAGAAGTGCCAGAGCACTCTCAAAGGCCCTCACAACTTGATCGTCTGTAAAGCGTCAATATTTGGTCCAAGGGTGGGATAAAAAGCACGTCGGGCTCACAATGCTGTTGTTTCCGTTCCATTTTGTCTTCAGCGAGATTCACAAAGCGTCGTCGTGTTTGCAGGCGCTTCGCTGCCCGCTCATCATCATGCGCAGACGCAGACGCAGCCCAGATTTTGAAGTACTCCCCAAACGTTAGTTTCATCAGTCTGCATCATTGCTCAACAGAACTCACCTTTGAGAGAGCATCCGCCTCCTTCAGAATCTCCTGCTCCCGCTCATCTGCCTCTTGCAAAGCAGCCTCATAACGCGCTTCAAACTCATCCCAGTTAAATGGTTCTAAAACACCAGGGGTATCTGGCGGATCAGGATTGTTGGGTTGTCGATCATCTTGAGGTTCGGGTGTCCTTCTATTAGCGTGCGGGTGTCTCTGGATGCTGCTCATGTTTGATTCCTCAGGAGCAGGGACAGTGGCTTTGATATCGTCTTGACTGTGACGATTCTCGCCGTCTTGTTGTAGTGGAAGTGCTGTATCCATGTTGGGCATTTCGCGTTCAATCGCCAGGGGTGTTGTCGGCCAAGCAACAGGGGTGTCTGTTAGGAACGTGCAGCACTGTCGAGTGAGCAGCCTGATCAACTGTATTGAGGCGTTGGTAAGGAGTCTTGAATCTTGTATCCCACAAAGTGGTGATTGCTCTGTCAAAGCTTACTGAGCTCAATGAAGGAAGATCATTTACCGACACCTGAATTGTGAAGTTAAGGTACCTACTTGGATTAAATATACTTGCTCACTAACAGGAAGTCTTGAAGTGTGGGTGTTCCTGCATCATTTCGTTGGCTGCCTGTGTGGCTTACGTTCATGCGCCACAGCATTGTCACTATCATTGCTCGACTCGTGACTCCCATCTTCAACCTCAGAACCTACAAGTCATCTGGCTTTCACTTTCACTTTCAACCGCTTATTTCGGGCTTACGAAGATGCGCCCCGCCTCTCCTGTTTTATTACCAGAAGGCTGAACGTGCTTCCCTTGGTCTTCTTTGATCAACAGATAGCGACAACTGCCTTGACGCAAGTGGCAAAGATACAAAGCCAGTATGGACTGCGATATCTGTCATCGCATACATGACCCAGAGCGTCTTCCTTTTCTCTGCACCGTGGACGCCAGGAACTCTCTTCTTGATGGCCGCATAAGCAATGTGGAACTTCTCCTGCAAAATGAGAGTCTCCAAAATGAAGTAAACGAATTATTAGATGAGGCGAGCACCCCAAACAAGTTTCATAGAGAATCACTCCAGGCGCAACAACGAACAGCCGAGGTTAGGACGACCCAGATATTGGCCGCTGCCGATAAGCTCAGAAATGACATCAAAGCTGCTAGAGAGGAGATCCAGGCCCGGCAAGCTGCGCTCTCTCGTCGCAAGTCGGATATTGCAGCTGTATCTGGTGGCCTGGTTGAGCGCAGAGTAAAACAGCAAAAGGACATAGAAACGGACATTGGCAGACTCAAGTATAAGTGGTCTCGCAGCGCTGGCGATATGGCTCGTACACGATCTTTTCTTTGCATGGAGGCAGCCCGACTATATGGACTTGAACGTGTTAAAGAAGGCTCCACTGGCAAATATGAGTATTACCTTGGCGGAATCCCCGTTGTTGATTTGGCCACAATGAACTGTAGGCTCTCCCGCGACTATTTCGACTATGCACTAACTCGTTTATAGCATCAACACCGGAGATGATTTCGACATCTCTCAGCCACATTTGTCATATCCTTATGCTCGTATCACACTATCTTTCAATCCGTCTTCCTGCGGCAATTACTCTTCCTCATCGCGACTACCCACGGCCAACTATCTTCAATCTCTCTGCCTCTTACAGATCTAAGGATCCAGTATTTCCTAGTCAGGCAGGAGTAGGGAATCCTTCTCACTCCGGAGACACAGAGTCCCAGCGTCTTTCACGTCCAAGACCTCTTTTTATTGACAAGCCACCAGCGCTGTTGGCCAAGGAAGATCCAGCAACGTTTTCATATTTCATAGAAGGTGTGACTCTGCTCGCCTACAACATCGCCTGGGCTTGCAGTACGCAAGGTGTTTCGATAGGTGATAGGACTCACTTTGAGGACATTTGCAATATGGGCCGCAATTTACACGATCTCCTCACAAATCACCAAAATGTTGGTGGAAACATCTATCCTTCTTCCTCTAACAAGAAAGATCCGAGCGCATCTAAGAATGATGCTGATACCCATGCCAGCCGCATGGGACAATATTCCCACGGCACAACTTTCTACTACCTCGGCGGAGCTGAAGGCACCGAGTTCAGTAAGACGTTCAAGCTTCCCGGTCCGATCAAATTGGCCGACAAGCTGAAGAAGAAGCTGCTCAGTGAGGCGCCTGCCCCTGACTGGGAAGTTCTGGATGATGATGCTTGGAAAGTTGAAGAAGAGGTTGTTGATACGAATCAGCCCAGCAAGGACTTGCTAGGTAGCGATAAGAATTCTCCGCGTCGGGGAACAAGTGGGTGGATGAAGGTAAAGAATAGATAATATCGTTCTGCCAAGAGGAATAGACAAACAATTGCTTAATCTTGTAAATGCTGTAAAGACAATATAAGTAAATATATTAAAAAAAAACCCAAGCATAAAGTTATAAACAGACTTGCTTAACCTATGGTATATTATATACTGGTGTTCTCTTTTAATGCTTTAGGACCTAAACGTAGCAAAAAGTGTGGTTCCGCCCGGGATCGAACCGGGGACCTTCTCGGTGTTAACGAGATGCCATAACCAACTAGACCACGGAACCGTGCTACTTGACTCATGATGGAATCTGCAAGACCATACTCAAGTCGCACACATTTGCCGGGTGTATTCTCATGCTCTAGGGTAGCATAAGGTTAGATTTCAAAGCTGGGGTATAAGATCAGAGTAAAATGGTTTCTGTATAGGTCCCTTATAGTCTTTTTAAATGAACTAAGGCGTCTTATATACTTATAGGGCATGTACAAACTATAATGGCGCCGCATTGATGACGGACAATTATTGCAGTCCATATCTTAGGTTCGACGTAGAAATCATGCTGGGATACTGGATTGATAAGACATTAAAGTGAACAATAACCAAAAACGCATTCATTATATTGACACATTATTCATGTAGTCTTACATTGAGTCATGCAGCTAGGGAGGTATGCCATAGTCTGCTTATCATAATATACAGGATTGTACAACTTGCTCCCCTGCCTCGCCGTTTTATTTCCCAGATTTCCCAAACAAAGATGCAATGTAATCTCCAAATGTAGAGGTGCCTTCTGCCTGCCTCTGTTTCCTCTGCTCCGCCTGTGTATCCCAAATCTTCTGAACGCTACCGGCAACCTCAGCCTTGGCCTGGAGATCAGCACGAAGAGCAGCTTCTTCAACCGCACGTTCCTCAGCCGGTAGCTTGTCAAGCTGTTCTTTCCATTGTTGTTGAAGTTCTTCAGTGGGTATAACCGCATCTTTCTTGGCTTTTGGCAATGTTGTCTGGAGGACCGGCGCGGGTAGTCCTTCTGCCTTAGCCTTCTCAACTGCCTCCTCGTGCTTGATCATTCGCTGATAAAGAGTGTCGGCGTGCATTTGGATATCTTCTTCCACCTCATGCGATCTGCCTACCACTGACCCATGTCCCAACGCTCGAAGAAAACGCTAAAACAAAGTTAGAAAATTGCCACGAAGTGTAGCGAATAGAGACAACATACTGATTGCATCATATAACACCTCTCAAATCTTCGAACTTGATGCCTACACATCTGCATTTGGTCCTCCCAGCTTCCGTGCTTCATGCAATTCACCCACTCTTCTTGGTATTCCGCACAGTTTTCCAATGCCGCCTTTCCAATGGCCTCTTTCCGTTCCTTGTATGCCTCCAAGACGCTCATTAGCTTCTCATGATCTGTTGCCGTCTCTGCCTCAATCTCGGCGAGCGGTTGGTAGTTCTTCCAGAGGTGGGCATATCGACCGTCTTGATACAGGCTTGCTGAAGGTACGACTGGCTTTTGTTGTTCTGTAGCTGTCGCCGCTGCATTGGCATTTGGGGGCTGCGGATTTGCTGGAGGGGGATTCGTAGGTTGGTTTGAAGGGTATTTGAGCGGAGATTCTTTCTCCAGAAAGTCGCGAAGGCTTGGATCGAGCTTTGAAAGAGGGTCTGACGACTTGTCGGTACCAAGGACCGAAGATATCCAACCCATGATAGCAACTTTGTTTCTCTAAACTGGTGCCAATCTACAGGGAAAGGGTTGAATTGAGTTTGAAGCTGGGCTTAAAGTCGACACTCCAAAAACTATAGCTTCAACTGTGATAAGTGGAGGTAAGAATTTCAGTCATGCACTGTACGAAGCACTGTATACCAACTCCAATTTTTGTAGTTCATTGGACCTAACGATTTCAGCTAGTTCGACATCATAATATCAAGGACTTAGGTCAGATGGGAATTCTTCATATAATTGTCATAACTATTTCTTTTATTCAGGCGAAATGGCACCTAATCATCAAACTTCAGTTACATCCACCGTGAACTGGAGTCTTCACCACAGACACAACCGCATCACATAGGTCAAACAACAGTTCCTCACGGCACTGGCATTTTTTGGTCGGCGAATAGTCAAAGGTATGAACGTAATCTTGAGATCATGACGACCCTTTTCCTAGCCATATCACGCCCGATTGAACCATCAACCCAAAACAATTGTCTTCGTGAATCCTTTTTTTATTCGCGATTGCATCTATAGCACAATCATTTGCAACGCAACATCCGGTGCCCGACCCTTCAGGAGAAACTTCCCATCTCTCCTGATGCTTATCACGCCGAAAAAATGCCAGAAGAAAGTCCCGACTTAAAACTTGGAGAACTTCTTAACGGACGTGCCAGTTCGGGGCAGGACACGCAGGACGTTGAAGCGGACCTTGAATCATGTTAGCGGCCATCTTTGATACCAGTTCGTTCGCTCTTTAAAAACGTACAGTCTTGCTGAGGGGTCGGCACTGGCCAACGGTGACCTGGTCACCCTCCTGAACACGGAAAGCAGGGGAGACGTGAGCGGCAACGTTCTTGTGTCGCTTCTCGTAACGGGAGTACTTGGGGATGAAGTGCAGATACTCTCGGCGGATGATGATAGTGCGGTGCATCTTGGTGGAAACGACGGTACCGGTCAGGATACGGCCGCGGATAGAGACGAGACCGGTGAAAGGGCACTTCTTGTCTGTAGATCCAAATGTTAGTGATGCGCTCAACATCTTATTTTCTTTGCGCCAATCCCTCCCAGCACGGCCGATTGATGTCGCTGTTTATGTGCCCGTCGTTTGGCAAGATTCGTCTTCGTGTGCTCCTCCAAGTCCCGGAATCTCAAATCTGTCGAACGTACCGATGTAGCTGCCCTCAATGGCGGTCTTGGGGGTTCGGAAACCCAGACCGACGTCCTTGTACCATCGTCGGCCACCCTTGCCCGGTCGGGTGCTCTTGGTCTTGGTCTTCGAGTTCTGGAAGATGTGAGGCTGCTTCTGGAAAGCACGCTCCGACTGGACGGTCAACTCGGTCGCCCTGATGCAAAGGTTAGCGACTCATTCGGCTTCGCCATCGTGTATTCATTCGGCTTCGACGTTGCAGTTGGGTTGGACTGTCACTGACATCTTGAATTATCCTTCTCGGGCAGGTACCGTAACGAGATGGCGTGTGGTTGAGCTGGGTGAAGGCGAGGTTGATATTGGCTATGCTAGGCGGAAGGAGAAAATAACACCAATTTTTGCGTGCCTTCCTTAGTAAGGATAATTAGGGCTTGTAATTTTCGCGAGGCAGGTGCCAGACGCCCACGTGACCTCCCAAAATTGCTGTGGCTCAAGCTCACGTGAGGAGGCGCGAAGTATGGCTGTGATCGAAAGTGGGCCATCTGAAGTTGATCAATCTTGGCCCCACTCTCCCCCCTGGCAGCCAAAGTAAACAAACACACGCGAGATAGCCAAGTCACAGCCCACTATCACTTATCGTCGTCGCGCTTCATGTTGGGGTTAGACTTTAGACTCGACAAAACCCGACAGCTCAATTACGCATGATGGCGCCCGCCGATGCAACTTTGCCTGCTACAAGGCGCACGCGAAGATCAATCGGTGCCCATACAGATGTTAATAAGGCGTTCGAAAAAGAAAATGCGACCGTCGACGTCACAAGCTCGTTGGCCGCGAGTCGCAAAAAGTCGAGGAGCAAGAGTTTAGGTCCTGGTGGCTTGGATGCTCTCATGAAAGCCAACGGAAACAGACGAGCTGTGAGACATGACTCTTGTTCACTCCGGGGATACAGTAATAACTAATAAATTCAGTCTCTTGCAGTTCCATCAAGAGCCCCGCGCTCAATTCTCAAACAAACCATGCCGATACCTGAAATCCCCCCTATGAAGCCGAGACAGCCCGATCTAATTGACTTTGGAGAACCAACAAAGGAAGTTTCTACTCCGAATAGCGCGGATAATAGCGGTTCCAAGATCGCAGTCAAGACAGAAGAAGAGCAGCAAGCTGCAGCTCGGGAACGAGAGGAGCGTGAGCGTCGCGATGCTCGTCGCAAATCTCTTGCAAACCGTCGCGTGTCTTTTGCTGCCGAGGCGACTCTACACACGTTTCATGAAGTTGAATTTAACCAAGACTCGACGACGTCTACCGACTCAACAAGGCGAAACTCAGCCTTTTCCAATGCTGCAGCTCAGCAAAAGGAACGCGACGATGAAGAGAAGAAGCAGAGACGAAGTTCCGGACTCCCACCAGTCAATTTCCACAACTCCGAAGACGACACTGCGACAACACTCTATAGTTCAGATTCCGAACCTGCAGATGCAGTCGAAGAGGTTGCCGATATTGAGGAAGATGGTGACGATGATAGCAGCGAATCCGACGACGGGACTATGATGACTGTTGATGATGTGACCGGAACAACAGCTGCTTCAGATCGATCAGTTGATTCCGATGGAGAGTCATCCACACTAGATGAAGCCCTGAGACTGGCTGCGCGAAGAGCTGGCAATCAACAACTCCAAGATGAAGAAGACGACGACATTGACGAGGACGAAGAATATATCCCCATGTTTGGATGGGGCAAGGAGAATAAGAATAAAATTGCTGCACAAGATCAAAAAAACCTACCACCTCCGTCTCATACTCACCAAGCTGAAGCAGTGCAAGATACGGAGGATGCTACCGGAACCAACATGAGTATGGACATGGACATGGACATGGGCATGGATATGGACATGACACGCGCAGTCGGCGGCATCCTTAAACCCCAGCCCGCACAGCAGTATGATCCCGATGAGGATATGTCTATGGACGTAACTCGTGTAATAGGGGGCATCATCAAAGCCCAACACCCACAAGAACATAATCCGGATGAGGATATGTCTATGGATGTTACGCGTGTATTTGGTGGTATTGTCAGCCAACCCCAGAGAACCAGCGCTCACAATGTCGATGAAGAGGAAGAAGGAGAGGACACCCCAGTAGATGAGGCTACCATGGAGTTCACAACCGCAATTGGTGGTATCAAACGCCCAGCGCTTGAGCAAGATGAGTTGTCAGACGGCAACGAGGACATGTCGATGGAACTCACTACTGTTATGGGCGGAGTCCTGTCACAAAAGAAGCGGAAGAGCATAGCTGCTTCTCGAAGGCGTACGGTCAACCGTGTTGAAAATGAAAACAATGATGATGATGCCCCCATGGATATGACTCTTGCAGTCGGCCAGATCCTGTCAAAGCCTGGGACTGACCGCCCAGAGGATAATGAGGATGCGGATGAGGATGAAGGTGATGCCACAATGGGTATGGATATGACCACCGCCATTGGGGGCATTCTCAGCAAAGCGACAGGTGGCTCACGAAACCTGGGCAAGCGGGTTATGGAAGAGGAGGCTGATAGTGCAGACGGTCCTGATGATATGTTTCAGGCCGCTATTAGCAAGAATGTAGTTGACGAACAAGCTAAACCAACAACGCCGAACGATAAGCAGGCCAAGACACCAAGCCCCGGACCCTCAAGGACTCCAAGGAGTGCTCAACGAGGTATCACTGGTACTAAAATCTCAACTCCTCAAGCAAACTCCCGAACTTCTCGCACACCCTCACCTGCAAAAGCAACAACAACAACACCGCAGTCAACCAAGGCCAGAACACCAAAATCAACCAAACTAGCTACGCCTCAACTCGATTCAATTGTATCAGAAAAGATTGCTACACCTCGCTCAGCTTCACCAAAGCGACCATCTTCTGTCAGAACGACAAGAGCTAGTTCAAGGACCCCATCGCCTGTCAAGTCCACTCCCAAGCAAGGTCTTTTCCAGAATAATTTTAGAAACAGCAACCGAACTCCGACAGTCATACTTACACCCCAACGAAGCTTGTCAGGAATTGGTGCTGACCGGGCTGGACTTGGGTCCCCACAGGTCGCTGCGCTTTTCGATCGACGAGGCTCTATTGGTGATACGGCTACAAATTTCGTGCCGGGGAAGCGTGGCGTCATGTTTGAAGACCCCAAGGAGATGACACAAGAGATCGATCGTGAGGCACAGGAGGAAGAAGATAAAGAAAACCGCAGAAAGATTCTCGAGAGGGAAGCTGACGGCGCTGAAGCCACACTTAACCTGCGAGAAATGATTGACAGCCTCAGCCCTAAGCGTAAGCCGCTCAGGGGTCGCAAGAGTCTTCATGTAGGAAGTGCCAAAGGCCTTCTCGGCAAGCGACCTAATGAACTTGACGACGACGAGGATGATCCTGAAGATAACGATGGTGTCAAAAGGCTCAAAGGTCACCAAGGAAGCCCAGTCAAGAACGTTAGACTTCAACAACCGCCCTCCAAAGAGGAGACGACGGGAAGATTGAATTATTCGTTCCGACAAAGCCTGCAACCAAATACTGCTACACCAACCTTGTCTTCACCAGAGAAGCCCGATGCAGCAACCACGCCAAGGCATCAGGGCAGATTCAAGGAGGTTGAAGATGACAGGGTTGGCCACCAGGTGAATTTCGATGAAACCCCAATCAGAGATGCGGAGCAGCTGGAGGAGGAAGCAGAGGCAGAGGCCGACCAAGATGGAGATAGAATTCATCTTCAGGATTTCCTGAACATGACCTCGATTCGCTTCATGGAGCTGACAACAACCAAGCGTCGTCACACGCAAGCTCCTGGAACCCTTGACAACGAATTCCTTGATGACGGTGAAGAGGACCTTTCCCTCGAACGTTGTGTTGTTGCTGGAGCTTGCACAGTGCCGATGCTTGAACTTTACCAGCACTCGTGCCGTGAGCTGAAGAAGTATATATCGGAAGGCCGACGAATTGTGAAGGAAATCGAGACCGACACGTTTGAGGAGAACCCGCCTCTGTTTAAGGAGTATATGGCAGCCACACCTGAGATCAAGACTCTGATGGACAAGCAGTTTATGAATGTCAAGAACCACGCTCGCTTGTTAAGCAAAGCCATGTGGTATGAATGGCGAATGAAACTGCAAGAGGGTTTGAAGGAAGGTCTTTCAGGAATTGACGATGGTATGGAAACCGACAAGGAGCTTCTGGATAAGCAGAAGAGTCTCCTTGATTCCGTGCTACCCCCCATTGTAGCTCGTTATAAGTCACTACTGGAAGAAAGAAACAATCTCGAGGAGGTCGCCCGGGAGCTTGCTGACTGTGACCCTGCCGATCTCGAGGCTGCTCGCGAGGAGCTGGCGTCTCTCGACGAGGACGTCGAATATAAGAAGAAGCGCATCGCAGAGCTAAGGGAGCAGTTCCAAGCTTCAGAAGTGGAAGTCGAGGACTTGATCACCCAGAAGCAGAATTGCGTCGATGAAATCGCAGAGTCTGAGAAAATACGCGAAGAATGCCGTGGCTGGACGAGCACAGAGGTCAACAGTCTCAAAGGTAAGTCTTTATAAATCTACTCTAAGGCAGTGACTAACACATTCTTAGCTCGAGTTGATTCCATCGAGAAGCAATATGGCTGGTCAGTGACTGGCATATCTGGAACTGTCCTATCGATGGCCTACAGGCGTGAGATCGAGATCGTCTTTGATATCGCCGCGTTCCAGGAGCATCAACCGAACTCGACTATTGATCTCTGGTATATCGCCGATAATCGGGAGCAGAATACACTTCCCAAGACAACAGAGAAGGAGTTCTTCTTACAGAGTATTCGAGATTACGTTCGTGCACTTCCTCATAGCCGCACTGAGGTTGCCCACCTCCTAAAAAGTGTCCAAAATGCCTGGGACAAGGCAAACCTCGTCTCTTCGCAAGTTGTCCGACTAAACGCTACCTTTCCCACGACGGTGGAGAAAACATCCGACTCAAGTATAGCCATCACAACATCCCTGCTGCTCGTGCCTCTTGAGACTCGTCTTGAAATCAAGCTGGATCTCCAAGGTCAAAGCGGCGCCGAAGCACTTGACGTGATGATTGCACCTGATGCCAAGGTGTTGTATGGTGAACACTTTAACGTACCCAAAGTGACAGAATTTCTAAACACACGGATTGGCAAGTTTGTTAGGGCTGGAGAAGAGCAGTGGAGTGACGTGATGGTTGAACTGCACGGAAGACTAATTGCGAGAGGTCGCAAGGCAGGATAGTGCGTGCAAACCAGTATAATGAGTGATGATGGTAACGCGAACTGGTGCATATGGGAACGAATCACTGGCGTTGTTTGGACATAGATACCTAGGTTTGCGTTTGTCTTTGTCTATAGCAGTGCTTTGTGGCACTGCTCCATTGGCCGATGTTTAACAACAAAGGCTCGTGCGAAAGTAAGAATATCTATTCATTAACTATTACCTCGTGTTTGTCTATGACTGTAAGCATGAAAGACTTTCAAAGGAATGGAGGTGATACAATAAGGCTGAGCTTGAAGGCATCCTATGTATTGTTTTGCTGTGGCACTATGTTAACAAAGCCATCTCTACATTGTCAATATTTACACGTCTCACGCAGGATCAGTGCTCAAATAGCAAGGCCAACGAATGTCAGTGACTGA